GTGTGTGTGTGTGTGTGTGTGTGTGTGTGTGTGTGTGCGCGCGCGGCATTACCGTAATTGCCATTTTAGATCTGATTTGATACAGACCTCTCTTGGGAATTTTTTGGAAGTGTGTGTGTGTGTGTGTGTGTGTGTGTGTGTGTGTGTGTGTGTGTGTGTGTGTGTGTGTAAGAGAGAGAGAGGCTCCGTTATACAGCTGGGAAACTGACTGATTATCGTTATGATTTCTGGGAAACGAGCAACATTTGTGAACACAGATTAACTGTTTAAAGCTAATTTGTTCTTTTTTGATTATTATAGATTCAATGCGGTACATTTAGTACGTTGTGTTTCTTTGTATCAGCTGTGTTTAGAAACATAAGATGAATTAAAACTCACACGACTAAATGTTCACGAGACGACCTTTTTAACCCTTTAATGCTCGTCTAAAGTTGGGAGTTTTATGTTTACCTTTGACAGTATTGGTTGTAGTTCTTTCCTTCCTTCCTGTTTATTCTTCCTGTGGTCAAAACAAAAGACATCAGAATGTGAGAAAAGGTCAGCAGCAGAATGACAGAATGAAGACAATGTGCTGTGATACGAGGATTCTAAAGATTGGTTAATGTTTGCTGCATCTGCAGTGTCCGTGCAGCCAAAGTACCATCGCACCATCACACACGTGCAGCAGGCGTTTGCCCGTCTGTGCACATCCGAGACATTCTAACTACGCGGAGGGACTGAGACAATAGGTAACTGCAGTTTCAGTGTTAGGATCACACGTGTGTGTTTCTGTCGAAGTCTAAATGTAGCGGTGGTACCTGTTGCGTTCAGATGTGTCTGTCCTCTACTGGTTCTCTCCCAGCTCGCTTCTTCTGAGCTCGGCCTGTAATGACACAAGAACGAGAACAACGATGAGCGTCCACAAACGTAAGTATTCAATACTTCCGTTTCCTTTTTGCGAGTACAGATTTGTTGTTTGGAGCAAACACAGATCTTAAACTCTGTGCCTTTCAAAGAAATCGAGTAACGGATGTGTTTACACTTCCCACGACTGGACAAGAGTTCAAGGCATAAACATTCAAATATGAGTATAAGAGAAACAAAGTAAGAATGCGTCAAAGCACACACTGCTGAGTCATTGCGCCCAGATGTCTTTATTTGCCTCCTCACCTCCG